TTTGGGTCTTCAGCAAAAAAATACACTTGTTCCCAGTGCTGTTTGAGCAGTTCCGCAACAAATTTTTCTTCATTAAAATTTTTCATGTTTCTCATCTCTACTATATTCTCTTGTTTCTTTATAACAGAAACTTTCCTGATAGCAAATATCAAACTATGATCACTTATACCTGTGTGAATGACACCAGAATCAGAAATTTGTTCTGGTGTGTTAGTAACCATATGATCAATTAGACTAGTAGTTGTCATAGTTACTCGAGTAGCTTCATCTATCAGTTGTGATAACTGATATAATTCATACAAAGACTTTATATTCTTTGTTGGTATGTTATAATCTTTCACTGGTCTTAGCAAATCACAGTTTAGATCACCCAGAATGTACATTTCCTTATTTTCATTATCTATAGCTTTGATCAGTTAAAGCCGACAATCCAAAAACTTGGATAATTATGCGTAATTTCAGGTTTGATACTGGTTTTATCACAGATTTGATCTGATTCGGAAACTACTTATTAAATCTTCTTCTGGGAAATAGGCAGTTACTTAGCAACCTTCGCGCATGCTCAAATGAATTTATACACAAGTTCTGGAGAGTTTCTCTCGCTTCTCCGTGCTGTGACGGAGTGGACTTTGCTTGCAGGGTACACTATCAGTTATAAATATATCAAAACAAACAATACATCAATATTTAAAACAAACTTACCTTAATTATACGTCGGCGACTTTGCTCTATTCTTTTAGACGTTTTTAGACGGTTTTCGGCACTGGGGAAGGTTTTGAAATTTACCAAATCTTGCAAAAATACAACTTTCAAGAAATGTATGTTATTTCGCTGTCGTCAGTGCATTCGTTATAATGCAAATTTAATTTAAAATTTGACCAATCAGTATTCACTATTCACTATTCACGACAGTCCTCTACATATTTTCAGATCAGTGAGGATGACCACCCATGAACGGTGAGCCATGCGCCCACGATATTTGATGAACTTTAGACTTCGCTAGTGCGTTCCTTTTCCCGGGTGTAAATAGCCGGGCGGAATTAGTACGTAACCTCGCATGGGCCGTCGACTCGGGAATAACAAAGTCGGAAAACATTGTCAGTGGACGGTTCCTTTTACAAATAGGTTCAAACAACAATTGCCTCCAACATTTTTATGTGTAATATTAATCCGTAATAGGATGGTTTCTCGTTAAATTTGGAAAAAACAACCACTCGTGAGTTTTCAGATAGACCTCAAATAGAACTCATCCTTCGCGGGCTCGTGCTATTTTGATGCTCTTTGAAAAACTCACTCGTGCATGTTATATCGGAATGAAATTGTACTCGAAACCATCCTGTTACTTATACTATAATAGTATAGTTACGAGCGCAATTTGAAAAGCGTGCGTTGTGGTCGGTGAGTTTTTCAAACAAGACTTGATCAAAATTTGCGGACAAAATTATGAACGCATAAACAATAAACCAATACATGCAGTAAATATTTCAACACTCACAATAAAAATGCGAACACTCGCAAGAATTTCGAACCCGTATATAGTTCCACAAAATTCATGCAGCCAGTTCGAACTGCCATTCAAATAAGTGTCATACACAACATTCGTCGAAGAAGAAGAACTACTACAAGAGGCAATGTAAGCCTAAATTATTATTGTGGTTAGCATGGAAGGTATCAGGTATCAGGAGGTATCAGGTATCAGGTATGGCAACGTCTTTTAAACGCTCCGCAAAAACCTTGAATAATTCCGTACATAGTACACCAAAGAAACCAGCGCAAAAACAAGCGAAAATGCAAGAATCAAGAGAAGTTAATCTTGAAGAGATATGGACCGTAATCTCGTCCGTAAACGAAAAATTATCAAAACTCGACAAACTTGACACCATTGAGACGAGATTAAACAACATTGACGATGAGATCAACACCCTGAAGCATTCACTTTCTTACCAACATGACACGGCAGCCGAAATTCAGGAAAGTCAAAAGGAACAAGACAAAAAAATAACTAAGTTAGAAGAAAAAATTACGGAGATCGAGTTGGAAAAAGTGAGGATGAATAGCGAAATTGTCGACATCAAAGCGCGCTCAATGAGGAACAACCTAATGTTGTTCAGCTTACCCGAAGAAACTAATGAAACCCCGGAGAAAAGCATGGAAAAGGTCTATGAAATAGTCGAGAATAAACACGGGATTCATGACGCAAGAAGAACCATGCCTATTGAAAGAGCGCACAGAATGGGAAGAAACAGATTCTGCCCAGTACATCTGGACGTGGATCAAGGCCGATTGTGGCAAAATTCCTGCGCTTCCCGGACAAAGAGTTAGTCAAGAGCTCGGCACGAAAACTGAAAGGAACGAACATAGGAATCGGGGAACAGTTTCCAAGAGAAATTGCTGAAGAACGAAAGAGGCTTCTCCCGGTGATGAAAAAGGCAAAAGAAGAAAAAAAGAAAGTAAAGCTAGTGAAAGACAAGCTATATATAAATGGACAACTTTATTATTGAGAATAACTCGTTTATAGTAAGTATAATAATTAATATAACCAAAACTAAACTTTAGATATGATGACTTTAAATAAAATATGTAATAAGTGCAAGCATCTCATTTTAGGATATTTTAAAGCTTGTAAAAATTGCATGAATCATTTTCATAATGACTGTTTATTTGATAGTGACAAAGATCTAGAACATTTTGAAAATGACAAAAATTTTATCTGCAGGAAATGCATAGGAAACAGTCTTCCTTTTAATCAGCTTATCGAACAAGATTTTCAAAATGCAATTAACGACTTAACTACAAACATAACACAGCACAATCGCGAGACTTTAGAAAATTTGGTTTTTAATCCTTTTGAAATTCAACATGCAATGGGCAATAAACGTAATGATATGCTAGGAAATCTTAACCCAGATCAAAACTATTTTGTAAATACCAAAAATGGAACAATGGAAAGTAACTATTATCTAACTAATGATTTCAGTGATATAGTTAATCAAAAACATATAAAAGAAAATCAATTTTCAATATTAAGTTTAAACATAAGAAGCATACAGAATAAGTTCGATCATTTTCTAAACTATTTAGCAACATTAAATTACTCCTTCACGGTAATAGCTCTGACGGAAACTTGGATAAATGATGTCACATGTGACGTTGATGAGTTTAATATACCAGGTTACGTAAAATTTAATTTTAATAGGAAACATAAAATAGGCGGAGGCGTCTGCTTATATGTTAAACAAGACATGGAAGCTAAAATTCGAAACGACATAACTAATGAATGTAACTCAAGCAACGTTGAAAGTATTTTTGTCGAATTGTTAAATCGGAAAGGAAAAAATATAATACTAGGATTAATTTACCGCCCGCCAAATATGTACAATGATTTTGAAGAAAAAATTGAAGCAGCCTTAAGTAAAATAGATAGTGAGTCGAAACCCTGTTATATATTAGGAGATTTTAATATTGACCTTTTGAAACATGAAAAGTGTGAGTACTCAGCAAGATTTTTAAACCAGATGATGTCATCAATGTTTCTACCTACTATATTAAAACCAACTCGCATCACCAGAAAAACAGCAACACTAATAGACAACATATTCACCAACATAGAAAATAATGTATATATGGGCATACTTTTTAACGACTTATGCTGTGGAAACAAAATTTTTAGGAATGATAATTGACCAACACTTAACCTGGAATGATCACATAAGCAATATAGCTAACAAAGTTGCTAAGTCAACTGGTATACTCAGCAAAACACGATACTTTCTAAAAATAGATACCCTTACTACGTTATATAATACACTTATATACCCCTATTTGTATTATGGTAATATAGTTTGGGCAAATAACTATTCTTCAAAGCTAAAAAAACTGGTTAAACTACAAAAACGAGCTGTTAGGATTGTTACATCTAGTTCATATTATGCAGAATCCGCTCCTCTCTTCAAAAAATCTAAAATGTTAAATCTTAATCAACTTAATAACCTATGCGTTGGCCTTTTTATGTATGACTATATAAAAGGATATTTACCTGCTTTTTTTGACAATTATTTCATCTTGAACAACAACGTTCACAAGCACAACACACGAAAATCCAATTTAATCCACAAAAACCGAATTCGAACAAATTATGGAAACTTTTCAGTAAAAAATAAAGGAACAGAAATTTGGAACAAAATTCAAAAAAAAATAAGAGATTCAAGTACCAAAACGAAATTCAAAAAGGAAATGAAAATACATCTATTATTATCTCAAGACAAGCTATAAAACACAATATATATTTATATGTATACATATAATATATATATATATATATATATATATATATATATATATATATATATATATATATATATATATATATATATATATATATATATATATATACATATATATGTAACGGTAATATATTATATGATAACATATAGAGTAGATTACGGAAATTATTCTTTCAAGTATAGAGTACAATATATATTTATGTAATTAATTAATAATTCTATATAGTAATAGCTAGTATGTACTCTAGATCTAGATAAACTGACGAAAAATTACCTGATAGAGAACTTATTAATTTTAGTATTAAATATTTTGTCACGGGGGACTATACTCGCAAAAGCCTTTTGGTTTATTATGGTCCTCTGTCCAAATATGTATAATGTAAACTAGTACATAAATATATATAACTTACGAAATGTATTGTAAACATATTTGGAAAAATTAAATAAATAGAAAGAAACGAATATTTAGGGAGAAATTTGATATTGTTGTGTGAGCTACAGTCCGAATCTGAATGAAATGCTCACAGTCGTTCGCATATACTGTGTTATTTATTTTGATTTTCGAGGTTTATGCCAAATCTTATCAGTACAGGTTTTGGATTGCATCAAATTTTATTTAAAAAAGTATAAATTTCAATGTCACGAGCAATTAATCAAATCAGTTATTTCGTGCGGGAAGTTGTCTGTCTGTGTCTGACATGTTGAACTACGAATACAAATAACATCAGAAAATGATGTTATTTATTTATGTAATTAAAATATCATGATTATGAATTAACATTCATTCCTATTACTACAATATTACTTCGAAGACATCGAATTTTTCCAATAAATAAACCAAACTATCATATGTTAATATATACTGTACTTTATACTTTGTAAGTAAACAACATGTATTAATACGTTTAAATTTCGCATTTAGCAATTCTTTAATAGCTCATAACCAACAGAAATGTATTCACTAACCTTCAAATTACAACCAGCAGCCGTAATTTGTAATTTGAATCGTTCGTTTGCGAAAAATAGTCGATTTATTCAGCCAAACGGCCATTCTGCAATACAAATCTCTAATAAAATTGACTGACTTTACGGCTGCGAGTAATTAGAGCGGGCAATTTCCGGTATGCGCGAGGCGACATGCGCGGCTTCAAAAACTTCAAAGGTTCCGACGCAAGTTGCCCTTCTATTCATTTCTTATTCTGTGGTAATACGATTTAGGGACCGCGCGCGAGTCCGGGAGCCTGGTATTGGAATTTGCGAATTTACATGCAAATTAGCCTATGTTTGCAGTAAGATAAAATAAAGACCGGATAAATCACGTCTGTCTTTTAAAAAGCTTTTCATGACTCGAAGGCAGTGTTGTAACGAGTCGAGTCATTGACTCGGACTCGAGTCGCCTCGAGTTGCTATTTTCAGCGACTCGACTCGAGTCCAGAACGAGAAATGACTCAACTCGAGTCAACAGCCCCAAATGACTCGACTCGGACTCGACTTGCTGATTTTGCCGTAAATGACTCGAGTCAACTCAGCTACAACTTGTAGAGAATAAATTCATCAAAAATATTGTGATGGTATTGCTTGGGAAGAACAATGAGCCCTGTGAACAATGAGAACTTCGAAACTTTATCAGAAAATATATGGGATTTGCATAAAATACAGTATATTCCTGACGGGCATGCCTATATTACATTTCTGTTTTTAGAAACAACGCTAGTGCCACAGCTTTTAAAGTGGAGTCTCAAAATTTTGTCTACTTATGCTAATTCTGACCGGCTATCTTCAATTTTGGTATTTATGAAGTGCTATATAATTTCAAATTAACTTACAAAGTATGGTTAATTAAAGTATATTCTTTGTTAATTCTGACTCCAGTTGCAAGTTATGCTAGTTGTATATACGTACACTCGATCAGCAGGCATGATGAGACATCTCATGTGGTTGTACTTAATATTGACTAGAACTGTGATATTGGTACAGCCTGTGGCTGCCCAGATACTGTTATTACATGACTAAAGTGATTAGCTTAAAACGTAGATTTGATTACTAATTTTAAACTGCAAGCTAAGGTATAGCGAACCGTTACAAAAAGCGTGAGGTGGACCATTCTCGTCCCCAGAGCCATTTTCACTCGGTCACTCGTTGAAAAGTAGGCTGTGGGTTAGGCGACTAAAGCGAGAGATCTGATTGGCTTGATCAAATTTCCTGACTCAAGTTAAGTCTAGCTTTTAACACATCGACTCGATTTAAACAATGACTCGACTTGACTCGAGTGAAACTGCTGACTCGACTCGAGTGAAGCCACTGACTCGACTTGATCAGAAACTGAAATGACTCGACTCGACTCGTGACTCGACATTTGAGTGACTCGACTCGTGACTCAACCCTATATGTGACTCGTTATCAAGAATAGACAGTCATCAAGAATAGACAGTATAGTAGCGAAAAAAACAGATTGCGCAACATTCTCAAGCTCCTGAAGCAATATAGTAAAAAAATCTGAGGCTAGTGATCTGCTATAGAAAATAAGCACCCTGGAATTTCTTCTTTTACTTATCGTCGGCATAAGAAAAATTCTTACTGCAATTAATCTTGCATCTAAAGATCTGCAAGAATTTGATCTGGATCTTGACGAATCATCCTCCGAATTGAGAAGACAACTAAATTCAGTTAAAGAAATGAGAGGCCAATGGAGAAAGATTTCAAAAGAGTCCACTATCCTTGCCCGTAAGTTTGGACTACCTGTTTCTTTTGTTGAAAAAAGAACAACAAGGGTTTTCAAATTCTTTGACGAAGAGGCCACAGACGAGCTTATCATTGACGCAGAAACAAAACTTCGTGTGGAACTGTTCTTTCCAATAATTGATACTATATTACTTAAAGCTAGAAGAACGTTTCAAAGGCCAGCATTTTGTTGCTTAAACTTTCAATTTTCCGTATCCAAAGAATTGATTGAAAATGATATCGCCATCGGACGAAATTCATGAAGCAGCCAAAGATTTTATTGGAATCTATCAATTTGATACGTGCTCCGCCAAATCT